GGCAAGATGATCAGAAGATGTGAGAGAGAAAAACGGAGGGAGGAAGGAAGATATTCCAGTAGCGGGGGAAAGAATTGCTTTTCTCGGGTTTCCTATGAAATGGGCCACTTTGTGCAGCCTTTAGAATTTGGATTGTAGCGTGGCTTGGAGAAGGAGAGTAACATTTCATTATTGTTTATCTCTGCCCTTTCCAACTAAAACATAATTCTTTGCATAGCGTCCTCTCTTTTGCTGTAGAGGAATTCCCACATGGCATTCATCAGGCAGATAAAATAATGCTGTTACCCTTCCTTAGATCTGAGGAAAACAGATCTGCACTTATTCAGATCTTGAGAAAAAAGGGTTTTTCTTTCAAAGTCCATCCAAAGCATAAATTATTTTGCAAATCTTTGATTTTGTAATTTTCCTTTCTTAGTTACAGGACACACACACACACACACATACACACATATACACACACACACATATATTGCCTTGTGGTTGAATTTAGGACATTCAAAGAAGTGAAAATATTTTAAAAGAACCTGGGAGTTAATCTAGGAAAGAAAATGATGAACATCATTGAACATTAAAGTGAAATCAATTATATTGTGTCTCAAAATTTTCATGATGATGAGTACCATAATATAATGTTGGAAGAGTGTCTTGAATAAAATTTGCTGGATCACAGGCCAAGAAGAGTCCAAGTTAAAGACAGTAGCAAGGTTCTGTCGGTTCCTCAGGAAAATGACACTTAAACTAATGCCTAGTAAGTTTAATTTTATAAAAATTTCCTTATAAAACATGCAATACATTGACGAAATTTGTTACTTAGTTATGCTTAATAATCTGGATTAGATTAATCAAAATCTAAATTAATCTAGTAAATTTAAAATAACGTGGAAGAGAAAGAACGAAGATGATCTAGAGTTATAGAGTAGGAGACTATTCAATTTTCTGAAGATTAGCCGTTCAGTTTTTCACATATCTGAGTTTGCATTACCTTCAGAAGTATTGCACATAGATGAAATATGTTGCTGAATTCTAAAGTCAAACCTCAAGTTTAATCTCTTCTGTTCTATATATTTTGTAAACGTGTGGGTCATTCTTCTTAGAAATAAACAATTTTCTGTAAGTTAACTTACCAATTCTTGGGTTCTTGGCACTGTTAAAAAAAACCTTGAGAATTTTATAAAATAGACAAAAATGTCAATATCTGGTTAAGAAATCATGAGGAAATGTATAAGATCCTCCATGTTGCCTTGAAGAAACAGCTTCTCTTTTAAGACTCAGTGTCGATATCACTCGCCTAAGAACTCATGTCATCTGGAGTTTGTATGATGAGCTTATAAGCACTTTGATGCTTAATGAGCCTGCATATGAATACTCATAATAAATGGATGCTTTTTTTCCAAAAGACCATAATTTGAAATTTAGAAAAGCAATACAAATCTAAGAAGAAAAAGCTTCTATGCAAGGTACTCAACACAGTCCCCAATTATCTTCGCTTGATATTTGATATTTGATGATTATTAGTGTGTAATGTGTTATATTTAGAACACAAACAGTGAGGAAAGGAAAAGACAAGGACAGGAGCATCGAAGCAGCAGGATGAGACTAGCACACAGGCAGGTCGGATTTGGTGAAAGGAATACGGTGTTACCTTAGGACAGCGTGTGAAGGTTCCCTACAGACTTCACAGAGTCGAGTGGGAGGAGGGATCATCCAGGCAGGATATCGTAAGTCTTAGTAATCAATCATGGGTTCCTTGCCTATACAAATGAGATGTGGTATTGCAAATAATATAGAAGGCTAAATTATTCCCCAATTATTTATATATGTATATATATTTGTTTTTAAAGATTTTTAAAGTATGTGTATGCGAGTGTGTCTGTGTATATGTATATGCACATGTGTGCAGGTGCCTGCAGAGGCCAAGAGAGGGTGTCACATTCCCTGGAGCTGGAATTACAGGCAGTTGTGAGCCACCCCCACATGGGTGCTGGAAACTAAGTCCTCTGTAAGAGCAGAACATGCTCTAAAGTTTATTTTTTTGCCAGGTATAGTGGCACACAACTTTAATCCCAGCCCTTGGGAGCAGAGGTAGGTAGATTTCTGTGAGTTCGAGTCCATCCTGGTCTACATGGCAAGTTCCAAGCTAGCCAGAGCAACATAGTGAGACCCTGTCTCAAAAAAAATTACTTTATTTATGTGTATGTGTTGAATTCTGGGACAGGGAACTACAACCTTTCCTGGGGCATCCAGCTGGTTATGTGGGTGTTAGGATCCAATTTCTGGTCCTCGTGGTTGAGTACTGAGAACTTTTGACTATTGAACATCCCTCTAACCCCACTAATTGTATATTTTTTGAAGTTTACAGTATTTTTTAAATTTTTAAAAATTTTTTATTTTTAATTATTTATTTTTTTAGAAGAAGCATTTCATTACAGCTTTAACATATTCAGTAACAATTTCCAGAACTAGGATGCATATCTTTCAAAAGTGGCTGTAAAATTTTAGGTTTACAGTTGAATTAATATGTTTATACAATATTGAACTCAGTATAAACCCTGTACAATATAAAATTGAATGAGTTTTTACCCTTTAAAGAAGATCTCCATTTCATTTTAAAATATGCTGTTTCCTACATTTTTAAAAATTATTTAATAACCACATACTTAGAAGAAGCATTTCACTACAACAGCATTGACACATTCAATAACAATTTCCAGAGCTAAGATGCATTTTTCAAAACTGGCTGTAAATTTTTGTTTACAGTTGAAGTATTACAGTTATACAATATTGTACTCAGTATAAACCCTATAAGACATAAAATTAAATGAGATTTTTAACCTTTAAAAAAGATCTCCATTTCATTATCAAAATACATAGTTTCATACAGAAAAATTCATTTTTAATGCAATTGACGTTAAGATGTTTGCACATGTGTTTCTAATCTCTATATATCTGGTTATTACTAGTCAGAGTTGGTTACTTTCTGACTCAGTGTTAGTAGCAAAAATAATGAGTCTTTCTGCAAGGAACAATATGTTCCAAAATGAAATGGAGATCTTTTTAAAAGGTTAAAAACTCATTCAATTTTATGTCTTACAGGGCTTATACTGAGGTCAGTATTGTATAACTGTATTAATTCAACTGTGAACCTAAAAACTTGCAGCCACTTGTGAAAGAGATGTACTCTTGCTCTGGAGTGTGTTACTTAATATGTTAAAGCTGTAGTGAAATGCTTCTTCTAATCATGTAGTTATTAAATTTTTTTAAATGATTAAAAATAATAATTCTTCAAAGCATAAAATTTGCTCCTTAATAATTAGTAGATGTGAAAAATATTACTATTGAAAGCTACATCACCTCTACTAATTAACATGAAGTAATTTTTTATGCTTCCTCCTCAAATATGTCTTTTTTTGAATTTGTTGATTTTTTTTGTGTGTGTATATCTATGGGGTCTCTCCCTTTCCTCATGGGTCATTGGCCACCGGTCCACAAGGACAAAGGGAGCAGAAGTGACGAACGGGCTCAGGGACGGCCAGTGAGCACTGACGGAAGAAAGCCCTTCCGGGGAGGCAGGTTCAATGATACAAACAGCTCCAGACTCTGTGTAACAGCTCCGTTTATTCAGTGGGGGTTAGGGAAAATACAGTGTGGAGGCAGTAGCCAATGCTTCAGCTGATAGGTGCTCATAGTATGCTTTATTTACATGTGGCAGTAGGCTCCTATCATCCAACTATCGGGAATGCCTAATTATCATATAGAAAAAACCTGGGGGTAGTTTTTACTCCAGGTAACTATGCCAAAGGTATGTTTTAAATGAGGCCAAGCATCCACGCTTGGCAGCACTTTCCAGGTAAGTCAGGCAGGAAGACCCTGCTGAGAAAGGAGCCAACCTTACAGCAGGGTTCCCCAACATATATCATACAGAAGTCTACAGTATTTTACACATTTAATACCCTGCATTAAAAACATAAATCCACAAATTCACAATATATAAAAAAAAATCAACCAATGTTCTAACAATTCATTTTAATTTCTAAATAAAACAAATCTCAACTTGTATTTTAAAAGATTTTTTGTGTATAAATTGGAAGGCTGACAGTGAAAATCAGAGTTGACTGGGTTGAGGTCTTCCTTGTGTGAGGTGAGAGTTGGCTGGGTCGGCCTCTTCCTGTGTGAGGTACTGGCCTTGTCAGTGTCCTCTCTGAGAACTCATGAAGGAACGGGAGACAAGGAGTCCAGTGTGTGCTAAGAATTCACATGTGTGATAGGACCAGAGTAGACATTTCGTACCATTTTTATGTTCCTCTTTAGGACAAGTCTGTACGGCTGATGGTTTTGCCAGTTCTTCCAGTAGAAGAAACGATGCTAAACCAGGGCTCAGTGCCAGAGCCCAAGCTCTGCCTCCCATTTTGCATGGGCCTCGTGCACGAAATGACAACAGGCTGGAAACTGGAGTCAAATCGTTGTCTGCCTTATATTTTAAAGGATTTTATCACTTATATTAGAGAGCCGATGATGCAGATACACTTCTGCATGGATGCAGAATACAGATCAAAGGGATGTTTGAGAATCTGCTTTCTCGATCAGCTTTCTACACTGAGTGATGATGGGCTCTTTTGTTTATAGTGAGAAAATTATTCCTTGCAGTGTAGATAAATGTTCAAGATGGGACTCTCTACAGAACAGATTACAGGTTTTATTGAATTATGTATGACATGCAATTAGTTGAAGAAAGTCTTAGGAAATCTAAATCATTAGGTGCCACCAGAGTGCCTAGTACACCATTGACAATCAGTACATGTGCAAACCAGATACCTTATGATGTCAATACGAATTACTGGTCCAAGGCAGCTTGGCAAATTTCAAATTCTTACTAATTGGAAACATCAGAACACATGTAACAAAAATATTGAAGCAATGATGTTTTGATTGTTTCATTTTTTTTATTTTTTGAAGATAAATTAATACAAAATGTATTAAGTTTACTCCTATATCTTTTGTAGTGCTCAGCATCTTGTGGTAAAGGTATAAAGTACCGGGAAGTACTTTGCACTGATAGATTCCAAGGGAAATTAGAAGAAAAATATTGCAGTCATCTGCAGAAACCTCGAACTCACAAAGCTTGCAGATCTGGCCGATGCCCTTCATGGAAAGCCAACCAATGGAAGGAGGTATGTGATATTCTCCAACTGTCTGTCTGCCTATCCATCTATCTATCATCTATCATCTATCTATCATCTATCATCTATCTGTCTGTCTGTCTATATATCTATCTGTCTATCTATCTATCAGTCATATATCATGTATCTATTTGTCATCTATTCATCATCTCTAGCCATCTACATTTACATTTTAAAATCCAAATTGAGTTTTTGGTTTTGCTTTAATATTTTATTATTTTAATTTTATGTATATGAGTGCATTGCTTGCCTGTATGTAAGTGCAGCCACATTGTGCAATGCCCACAGAGGTCAGAAGAGGGCGTTGGAGTCCCTGGAACTGGACTTATGGACAGTTGATAGCCACCATATGAGTGCTGGGAACCAAACCTACGTGCTCTGCAAGAGCAGCCAGTGCACTTAACTGCCAAGCTGTCTCTCTCTCTCCCTTAGTCTTTGTTTTTAATAACCTTGTGAATTCTACTTCTTTAAGGTGTGCTTCATTTTATTAAAGATATATTTGCACTGTGTTCTGATTAATACTGTGAGGTGCTGATGCATTTGCTTTAGTTATTTGAGCTGGGCGTGGTGGCACATGTCTTTAATACCAGCACTTGGGAAGGAGGCAGAGACAGGCAGATCTCTGTGAGATCGAGGCCAGTTTGGTCCATGTAATTCCAGACCAGCTGAGGAATACAAAGAGACTCTGTCTTTAAAAAAAAAAATCTTGGGGCTGGAGAGATGGCTCAGAGTTTAGGAACACTGGCTGTTCTTGCAGAAGACCCGGGCTCGAATCCCAGCACCCACATGGCAGCTAACAACTGTCAGTAACTCCAGTTCCAGGGGATCTGACAGCCTCTTCTGTTCTCCGCGGGCATTGCACGACACAGATGCACTTACTTACATGCAGGCATAACATTCATACACATAAAATAAAAATTATAAATAAAAATTTTTTTTTTAAATCCAAAAGCCAAAACCAAAAAAAATATTTGATTTTTTTGAGGTTAGAAATTTACAAGAAACTCTGTGAATACTGGGAACATGTCACTATTGATTATCATCTTGGTAATCTAATAGCAAAATATATACAGTGATTTGTTTACTGATGGCTGTGTTTGCATCCCAAAATCTTGGATTTACGCTGACTGCATTCTAGACAGGGGGTTTCTAAATTACAGACAATATTACAATTGGAGACCGAGAATGGGTTAGAGTGAGATCTAGGTCAACAAAGAAACTAATAACCAATGAGATCCAGGCTTAGAATTACTCAGTTTGTGACAGAAAGTTGTCAGATTCCGCACCTCACATTCTCAGGGAAGAGAAGCCCAAAACCTGTAGAAGAGTTTTCTGAAGGTCACCCGACTTTTGAGTGGTACCATGGCAGCTCATCACTGACACTGAGTGAAAAATCTTCAGTTTCCTTGTTGAAACGGCTGCTTCTGTAAGTGCCATTGTGTTGGGAATCGTGGTTAATATTTGGCTCATCCCTGGGGCTAATGCATCTGTGTTTTTGATTCTATACCCTATAATAATGTATCCTCCAGCATTTGTTTCTACATTAAATTTTGGCCAAGTAAATAAACTATATTTCATGTTTCAGCAGCTGCAACTTAAAAGCGCTCCCCCTTAACCTTTTATATTTAGTGAAGGTCATTACTATTTAGAGTTGCTCAAAAAAGAACACTGGATTCATCCTGTCTCCTTCAACTTCCTTCCCACAGTGTGCTGTTACTCAGTAGGATCCCTCAGCTCCCCTACCAAGTAGCTTTTGAATCTGCATCACAACCTCCTTGGTGTCAGTGGTAACTCTATTGCTGTCTGTTCCTAGGCCTACAAAGGCCTCCTATGTGTACTTTGGCCATTACCTACCATCTTATGGTGTGAGCTCAAATATGTTTTTAATTTCATATTTTTGTTTCCCAAGTACAAAAGTGAATGAATTTCTACTTTGAGATTTCCAAAATTTTCTGACAGATTGAAACATTTTTAAATAGCAAGTTTGGGGACTGGAGAGATGGCTCAGTGGTTAAGAGCACTGGCTGTTCTGGCAGAGGACCTGGGTTCTGTTCCCAGCACCCATATGGCAGCTAACAACTGTCCACAACTCCAGTTACAGAGGATCTGAGGCCCTCCTCTGGCCTCCGAGCTCATGGCACAACACGGGGGCACTTACCTATATGCAGGAAAAACACTCATACATAGACAGTAATAAAAAAGGCATAGATACACAAAAATAGCAAGTTTTAATTTTTTGAAGTCTTTAGATTCTCCAGCAAAGGATCCAGACTCTCTCTCTGTTCTACCTGGGGAGGTGGGCTGGACATCAGGAATGGCCTTTCCTGTAAACACCTGACTGTAATAGAATCAAAATCTCATCTGTAATGAGAAACTATGAAGGATGTTTGAAGAGACGATGTCCCTGCCTTCATTTCTTATAACTCTGCCCTGTGGCCAAGTGAGGCAGCCTGGATGAACTGCAGTCCATTACGTTGGCTCAGTCCCAATAGCTGTAGAACATGTGGGCTTCCATGATTGCTTCCTCTGATTCCTCCACTAAGCCTCTGATGTGCAAGTCTACGCAATACTGTGCTCAGGAACAACTAGGGTATTTGTTTAGGTCTCTAGTCAGAATTGAATCATGTGTGCACGCACGATTGTGGGTTAGCACATTCCAGTCAATTAGTCTGTGTGATGCTTGTGCCCGAGGCCTCACAGTGACCTCACAGTGGATTTTATTTTAGATGAATTTAACATGCTTATGAAGTTTTATAAAAGTGTTAAAATAGGGCATGGATATTTTGAAGTTCAGATGTCTTTGATCTAAGTAGAAATCACATGATAATTCTTAGAAATATATGAGGATGTAAGTGCAGAACGCAGGGTAAGGCTGGAGATAACAGAGCTATAAATTATTAATGTGTAGAAAAGAGAGCTTAGAAATGTAAAGAAAAACCAGTTATGAACAGCTTCTCGGCATGCTCGTGTTTAAAAGGTGAATACAGAAAATGGAGTCTGATAAGGACCCTGAGGAGCAGCAGCATAAGAAGTAAGAGGGGGCACCTAAAACCAGAAAGTTATAGACATGGCTAGTGGGGCCCAGTGCACTGGAGAGATTAACTAAAAAGAGATGGCTCAGCTGTTAAGAGCACTTGCTACTCTTGCAGTGGACCCAAGGAGTTGAGTTCCAGCACCCACGCCCTGAGGGTCACAAATAAATATCTGTAACTCTAGTTCCAGGGGATCTGACACACTCTTTTGGCCTGTATGGGCACTATCAGAGAGAAAGAGAGAGAGAGAGAGAGAGAGAGAGAGAGAGAGAGAGAGAGACTATTGCACTGTTGTTTAGAAAATGTAACTAGTTTATCATAGTATTTTTTTAGATTATATTTTATTTGTGTGTATGTATATTCCTTTTAGGGAATATACCATGTTAAAAATATAATAGTTGACCAGGTTGTGATGGCATATACCTTTAATCTGAGCACTGGGGAGGCAGAGGCAGGGGGATCTCTATGAGATTGAGGCCAGCCTGGGATAGTCTATATAGCAAGTTCCAGGCCTGTTGGAGCTACATAGTGAGACCTTGTCTCAAAAAAACAAAACAAGCATATTATATGTATACAAACTCTGCTTGGTAGAACTTCTCACTAAGAGATGTTTTGTGAATTATTTTTTCTATGAGTTTATTTTTCAGGACTAGACTCAGAATTTTGTCCAAATAGGGCACTTTTATAAAGTAATAATTTTAATTAGAGGTTTAGAGACACTGAACTACATACATCAGATATTTAAGTCTTCCTAACATTATGCTTGATGTAAACATATATTAAGCCTTTGATAAATTGGCAAAATTTAATAGCTGAATGTCAGTGTAACTGTAGAAATACACATAATGTTCAGAAGTGAAAAACCGAAGTTTTCTTTGAAGTCTCTGGTTGCTGTTCAAACATTCAAGACACAAAACCTAAAGTCTACAGTAAATTTTAGTGAAAGTTCTGCAAGTAGAGAGAAGGAATCTGAGTCTGCTTGGTCTGCTTTGTGATATTAATTTTTTCTTATAATAAAACTGTATTTTGCAGATATCTATGACTGTTGTTAAAAAAAGAAAGAAAAGAGGGAATTAGTTTCTCTGGAATGCCTGAAAAAAAAATAGAGAACTTGAAAAGCAGCTAGCTTTTTTCTCTTAAAATATTTATGTTGATATTACTGATGGCTCTTCAAAATATTATCACCCAGTGTGGCCTCCAATCATTTCTGGAATAACAGGGAACATAAACAACCAGATTCACAAATTAAATATTCTTCAACACATCTCACTGATGTTGGCTCAAAACTCCTGATTTAATCAGTCTGTTATGGTGTGGTTGTTACTACTTGGTTTCAGAACACCTAGGACTAACATCCTAGAACTGAAGGCTTATCAAGTCTCCATCCCCCGGAGGTAACTAGTGAGAGCTCAGCAGAGCATGATGTCTCAGCTCCTCTGCCAGCACTGCTATGATTTTAATGTTTGTGTTCACCCCCAGCAGGATATTAGAGGGTTAGAGACTTTGGGAGGTAAGTTAGGAGCCCTCATAATTGGGATTAGCTTCCTGATGAGAGACTCTGGAAAGATATTGGTCCCTTCATGTGTGGGGATGCAGCAGATACGAGATGTCCTAGGGTTTCATTTTGTATTTTTGACCTGTGAGAATAAATCTCTGCTATTTATCAGCCACAGTTCTACTTTGCTTTTCTTTGCAGAAAGCGTTCTGACCAACAGCAACATAGGAAGCAAGGGTTTATTTATTTCAGTGTACACATCCATGTCACAGTCCATCACTGAGGGAAGTTAGGGCAGGACTTCAAGCAGAAACCGTGGAGGAAAGTTGCTTACTGGCTTGTGCTCACAGGTTCACATTTGGCTACCTTTTTTATCCAACCACCTGCCGAGGGGGTCACAGTCCATCACTGAGGGAAGTTAGGGCAGGACTTCAAGCAGAAACTGTGGAGGAAAGTTGCTTACTGGCTTGCGCTCACAGGTTCACATTTGGCTACCTTTTTTATCCAACCACCTGCCGAGGGATGGCACTGTCTGACAAGGGCTGGTCATCCTACATCAATCGGAAATCATGGCTATCTCTCACAGACATGGCCACAGGCCAGTCTGATCTGGGAAATTCCTCAGTTGAAGTTTCCTTTTCCCAGATAACTCTAGGTGGTATCAAGTCAACACTACAAACTAACCAGGCAGCCACCAAGTCTGAGGTATGTTTTTATAGTTATGCGAACAGACTAAGAGGGAACATGTGCTACTGCACATATCTATGTGGGGATGTGCTTGTGAACTGGGTACATGTACAGCAGGAGGAACCTTCAGGCCTGTGGTAGTAAAGCTTGTACTGCTGAGAGTGGGGTTAGGGCAGACCTGGTGAACCCTGGGAAAGAAACGGGAGGAGCTGAAGAGAGTTTCAGCCTTAGTATCTAAGTGAATGCAACAAGGTTGTCTAAATTAATTTTCACAATGACTTCTCCAGAATCTAGCCTCTTGAAATATAATCATGACTCTATAGATTGGCAAATATTTGGAACCCAACAAGTGCAAACTATAGCAGGTACTGCACATAAAAATGTGAACATAACCAAAGTCTCACAGAGTGTTGCTTATTGGGAGATAAAAGGTGTAGTGTCCTGTGTTCCAGTTCATTTAAAGCACTGTAATAGAATAGTTATGACTTTGCAGTGATTTTCATAGACATTAAGTACATTTAACTCAGAAAAGCATTATCAAATTGGGATTCATTCTAGTTTAATAATCAGTCATCAGTTATCAAAATTCAGTTCTCAGTTTCTGGAAGACTTGAGGTACTTTATGAATAACAGATAAAACACTGTGTATTTATATAGAAGTTCTAGACAATGTAATAACATTATATGGACTTTCTAATGTGTGATATAATACCAGGTGTGCTAGATAGGTTTAGTGTCAACTTGACACATCTGGGTTGAGGAAGCCTCAATTGGGGACTTGTCTTTATTGGACTGGCCTGTGGCCATGTCTATGGGGCACCTGCTTGATTTTGAGTGACATGGGAGGGCCCAGCCACTGTGGGTTATACCACCCCTGGGCAGATGGGCCTGTGTTCTATAAGAAAGCAGGCTGAGTACACACCAGGGGAGCAAGCCAGTAAGCAGCATTCCTCCATGGCCTGTGTTCCAGTTCCTGCCTCCAGGTTCCTGCCCTGAGTTCTGGGCTCCCTCAGTGATGAACTGTGACCCAGGAGATGTAAGACAAGTAAACCCTTTCCTCCCCAAGTTGGTAATGGTCAGAGTGTTTTGTCACAGCAATGAAGAAACAAACTAGAACCCCCAGAAAAGAAATAATAATGCATGATGCTCTATTTAGCTATTGCTATGTAATTTGATGTTTGGTAACCACACTGTCAGATCATCTGGTCTCCTTTGTAGTGCTCTGTGACCCATGGCTCTGGAGTGCAGCAAAGGGATGTGTACTGCAGAATGAGAGGTGTTGGTCCAGTGGCTGAAAAAATGTGTGCTCCCTCTACCCGGCCCCCTGGTCAAAGGCGGTGTTGGCATGAGGCTGGTATGAAGTACCAGTGGGTGGCAGGACACTGGCAGGAGGTGAGTATTAACAAGGACATTGGTTCGTTGGTTGGTTGGTTTTGGTTTGGTCTTTTTGAGACAGGGTCTCCCTGTAGCCCCAGCTGTCCTGGAACTCACTATGTAGACCAGGCTGGCCTTGAACTCACAGAGATCCACTTGGCTCTGCCTCCCAAGTGCTGGGATTAAAGGTGTGCACCAGCACGCCCGGCAATATTTTCTTTTTTAAAACTTTATCATTATTGTGTGTGTGTGTGTGTGTGTGTGTGTGCTCACGTGTGCCATGGCATGTATGTGGAGTTGGTTCTTGCCTTCCACCTTTCCAGGGCTTCTGGGAATTGAACTCTGGTTGCCAGGCTTGCCCGCAAGAGCCTCTATCCACTGAACCATCTTGTCCGTTCTTTTTTCTGTTCCCTTTTTTTCCTTGCCCCCTCCAACTGCCCTCCTTACCCTCCTCTCCGTGCCTCTCTTTTCTCTTTTCTTGAGACAGAAGCTGGTGTAGCCTTGACTGGCCTGGAGCTCCTGAGCCTCCTTCCTCCTCCTCCCCAAATTCTGATATTACAGACATGAACCACCATACCCAGCTTTCACCAAGCAAACGCTCAGAGATACTGCAAATAGGAAAGTGTTACTCATCTTGTCATTGACTTCCAGTGTTCAACATCATGTAAGAAAAAAGAAACATACCGGCTAGTGAAGTGCGTGAATGCACAAAACATGCAAGTGAATGAAAGTTTCTGCGATCCTTTAAGCCGACCTCTTTCAATCAAAACGTGCAGGAGTCCTCTCTGCAAGTATGTGGTGGTAACAGGAGACTCATCACAGGTGAGACCGCCTTGGTTTCTTTTCCTGCTGCTCGGATAAAATACTTTCAAAAGCAACTTAGGAGAGAAAGGGTTTCCTTTGGCTCACAGCTCAAGGATGCATTCATCATGGTCTGGAAAGGCCAGTGGCAGGAGCCGGAGGCAGCTGGTCCCATTGCATATGCACTCAAGAAGCAGAGAGATGAACTCACACTGCTTCTCAGCTCCCTTTCTCCACTTATACAGTCCAGGATCCCTGTCCGGGGAGCCAGAGGAACAGGTCTTCCCACCTCACTTAATGCAATCATGATAATTCCCCACAGGCTATCTCCCAGGTGATTTTAGAGTCTGTCAAGCTGACAATTGACACTAACTCTCACAAAGAAAAGCAAAAAAGTAGAGAAAGTTGAAATTTTTGCTCTTGCTTAAGATAGAGGGATCTATAAGTTGAAACTGAGTCCAAAACTGGCATATGCCATATGGGCACAGAATCCAGTGACATGAGTAACACAGATGAGCACTAACAGAAACATGTACGTTAAAACTATGATGCAGACTTTACGAATCCTTTAGTGAGGACTAAGAGCTACCACCAGGAGCGGTCTGGCGAATGTCCTGAATAGTCACTCATTTTACAAAACAGCTTTATTGATAGCCGGTCCACTATATGCATTTATGACATACCGTTTAAGGACCAATACATGCATACATCGGTTAAACCAGTATTATGTTCAAAATCAAGGGCATTTTCTGTCACCCCTTAAATTCCCCTCCCTCATCCTCTACCACCCAGCAGGTAACCTCAACCATTTCCTAGTGATTTGTCATCAGGTTAATTTGTATTTTTTAGGATTTATGTAAATGGAATCATATAAGATGTGCTGGCTTTTTGTCTAATAAACATAAATTTGAGGGGATTGAGTGAGATTACAGTGTGAATCAATTATATTGCTTTCTATGGCTGGGTATGTTCACTAATCTTTTCTTCCCTGATGACTCATCTGCCTTTGACCTCTATCCATGCTATTTTTGACCTCAGACATTTTGATATTCATCTTTAGATGTTTGATTTCAGCTTTAAAAATCTTTCATGTCTCTCTTTAACTCTTAAAACTCAGGAAGTGCAGTTACTATTCGTGACATTGAATGCCCGTCCTTGCCGGCCCTAATATCCATGTCTTGTGAACCATTTGTGGTCAGAAGCCAGACGTTTCATCACATGCCAGAAAGATCTGCACCTATCAGTTCTTCTCATTTCCTCCTTCCTCCAGCCCCAAACTTACTACTTTCTGTCTTTATAGAATTACTTTTGTAGGTATTTGAGTAAATGGAATGATAATGTCACACTTTTGTACCTGGTTTCCTTTGTGTATGGATTTTTTTCAAGTTTATCCATGTTATAATATCAATGAGTATATCATTCTGATGTGTAGCTGCATAATATTCCATTATAGGGATATATTGCCCTTCGTTTATTCACTCATCAGTCAATGGGCATTGTCAGAAGATTATTTCTGCTAGCAACAGCAGTCAGTCCTCTTACCACTGGTCCATCTCTCCAGCTCCCTGATTTACTTTTGAATTCTCAAGCCTACTTGCTTGATTTCTATGCCTGTTCTTATTCGTTACCATATAGTCTTGGTTATTATAATTATACAGAACAATTTGAAGACAGAAAGTGTTCAGGAATCCACTTGTTCTTTCTTTCACAAGATTGTTTGGCTAGTCTGAGTCCCTTGCATTTTTATATGAATTTTAGGATCAACTTGCCAAATTCTGTGTGACAGGAAGCTGGAATTTTGTGAAAGATTGTGATGAATGTTGACCAATTATATCTTTAAAATATAGTCTTCCAGTCCATGAACATTGCCTGTTTTCCATTAGTTTAGTTCTTAAGTCTTTCAATAAAATAGAACTGTTGCACCTCTTTTATTAAATTTATCCCTAAGTATTCATTGTTTTTATGTGTAAAGAAATGGAGTTGTCCTTGAATTTCATTTTCTGCTTGCTTGTTGTTAGTGTGAAGACATAGACAAAATTTTGTATATTGAACATGTTATTGGATCTGTGTGTGTGTGTGTGTGTGTGTGTGTGTATATGCATGTGCATGCACACACACATGCATTGCTTGGAGTTTTTCTTAAACACACATGTCATCTGCAAAATATGCATATATATTATATAATATATAGCATATAATATATATACATATTTTTAGATAACATGATATATATATATATATATATACACAATGCACGGAGGCCAGAAGAGGGCATTGAATCCCTTGGAACTGGAGTTACAGATGAATGATAGCCACTATATAGGTGCTAAGAATTGAACCTGGGTCCTCTGTAAGAGCAGCTGTTGATTGCTCTTAACCAATAAGCCACCTCTCCAGCCCCATCATTTACTTCTTTTTCTTACCTAATTTCTCTGGCTGGAAACTCCAGAATAACACTGAACAAAAATGGGTGAAAACAGACGTTTTCTGTTTTTTGTTTTTTTCCTTTAAGTTTTCAGTTTCTAAAATGAAGAATGTTAGGATTTATGAGCTCTGTTTCACAAGTCGAAAATTTGGCCTTCTATTGCTAGCTGCCTAGTGTCCATAACGTGAAAGCCTGTTGAAGATACCTTCTCTGCAAGTAGTGAGATGATTATGTGATTTTTCTGGTCCATTATTCTATTAGTTTTATGTATTGCATTTATTCATTATGCATTGAAACAGCTTTGTGAATCTGTGATGAATCTGACTTGCTCATGGTAAATAATTCATAGATGCAGTTGAAATTGTTCTTACTGCTTTGTTGAAGACATTTGCATGTACATTCATGAGAGACATTAGTCTATAGTGTCTTTTCCTAGTTTAGGGACATTCTGGCTTCATAGGATAAAGGGATCTTTAAAATTATAATTCCGGCTGGGCGTGGTGGTGCACTCCTTTAATCCCAGCACTTGAGAGGCGGAGGCAGGTGGATCTTTGTGAGTTCAAGGCCAGCCTGGTCTACATAGTGAGAACCAGGACAGCTGGGGCTACAGGGAGACCCTGTCTCAAAAAGATGAAAAAAAAATTATAATTCCTTCTCTGTGCTTGAAATAATTCTTTACATGTTCTCCTACCACAAAATTTGATTTTATTTGTTCAGTGACTTTTTTGACTGAAAGTCTGTGTGCATTTTTATCGCATCTAGTAACTAAAGTCTCTGCTCACTTAGCTGAGTTCTCAGCAATTAGACAATTATTTCCTTGAGTACCTGAAATCAATGATCCCCCGGTCTTTGCTGAGAATCTTAGTCCTGGCCTAGGGAGATAGCTCAGTGGTTAAGAGCACTGTCTGCTTTTGTAGAATACTTGGGTTTGGTTCCCAGCACCATATGGCATCTAGCTATTGCTTAAAACTTCAGTTCTGGGAGATCTGATACCCTCTTCTGGCCTCTGTAGCCATCGCACATATGTGATGCACTTATATACCCTCAGGTAAAACACTCATACACATAAAACTTAAATGCTTTATTAAAAAAGAATATCTTTCTTTCTCTTTCTCTCTCTCTCTCCCTCTCTCTCTCTCTCTCTCTCTCTCTCTCTCTCTCTCTCTCTCTCTCTCTCTCTCTCTCTCTCTCTCTCTCTCTCTCTCTCTCTCTCTCTCTCTCTCTCACACACACACACACACACAGGCAGCTGAGAACTCTGCTTGAAACATAACTTCTGCTTGTACAGAGCTTTGAGGTTTTTAGGATGCAAAAGCCCTGGACATGTGCATAACCTCATGTGTATTTGTGCTTTTCAACATTCATTCTAATATATTGAAGATTGTCAAAGTCCCTTCGAACCTTTGATTTTTCATCTTGTTCTTTTCATGTGCGTTTTGCCTAGCTGATGCTCCAAATGTTATCTACCTCCCCTGGAAGTTGTAAACTTAAATGGCTTTAATTGTATTCAACAAAAGCCCCAATCTTGTACCACCTGGGACATCAGGTCAACGAAAGACAATAACCTTGCAGTAGATGTCTTCCAGAAAGCCCCAAAGCAGTTCAAACAATGAAGACTCTTTGGGGATGTGGCTATGAAGGGTGGGTGCTGGGGACCCAAATTCAGGTCCTCATGCTGTGTGACCTGACCCTCTCCCCAGCCCCCTAGGTAGAATACCTTTGAAGACTGGTTGGTTCATGTCTTGGCTTCAGTTGGTCTCCTCGCATGCTTATATTCACCCCTCACAATTCTGCTACTTTGTTTCCTCATGCCAGGCCCCAGAAACTCTAAGCCACAGTGATTCCAGAAGCCTGGTGTTCCCACTGCTCTAGGATGACTCTCTTTTAATACTTTACGTCAAGTGTCTTAAAAACCATTTCTCTACATCTTTTGTCTGGTGTTTCAGCTGTTTCAGATTATATGTGAACCTAGTCCTTCATTTTTGTTCTGTTTTGATCTGGGGCTTTAGTCCACGTCCGAATCATTTACTCATTTTATCAAATGACACTAGACATCACAATATATGTATTAAGATGGATTTATGATAACGTCTAGCCACTAGCTAAGGCTAATAAATATCTTTTATTTCAGTAAAACCTTCACTCCCGATATGTTTCATTTCTCCCAGTGTGTCTTTCAGGAGACAGAGTTTCACCCAGTGTAATTGTGATGCAGTAGTGGGGAAAGAGAAACCCCACAGGCCATGTGGATGCAAAACAGCCTGAGGGCTGGAGAGATGGCTCAGGGGTTAAGAGCACTGACTACTCTTACAGAGGACCTGGGTTCAATTCCCAGCACCCACATGGCAGCTAACAACGGTCCACAGTCCATAACTCCAGTTCCAGGGTATCCGATGCCTTCCTCTGACCTCCGCAGGCATTGCATGACACGGGTGCACTTACACACATACAGGCAATACCCTCATACACATAAAATAAAAATGATAAATAAAATTAAAGAACTGAGCCTGAATCTTGGTGTTTTATACTTGCTAGTAAGACACTTGGCACTTGAATGTCTTTGATCCTTTAGTCACCTGTAAATGAGGCTGATTTGTAGACAAGTTTTGCGACATGTTCTTAGCTCCTTATAAGTATGTATTTTTCAGTGTGCAGGTGGCTGTGGATTCAGTTACCCACAAAAGATTACATATTGCATTAGGATCCGGTCTACCAAGAAGCATAAGTCCCATCAGCTTTGGCCTGTAGACTATTGGGAATGCCCTGTGCTGCCTTCTCCAGCTTACAAATGCAACGTTAGAAGCTGTTTGCATGTGGCCACTTGGAAAGTTGGAAAATGGAGCAAGGTCAGTGTAAAATTTTGAATTGACAGCCTTTAGCAGAAGGTTTTCCAGAGGTGGAATGCCTAGTAATCTGCATGTTTAATTAGATCTTCTAGGTTGTCTTCTACGCTATTGCCTAAAAAACATTTTATTAGTTCTTTGTATAAATGTCTTAGCTTTCTCTGGTGCTTGATATGCCTTGCTTATAAAGAGCAACCAAAGTGATGCTTATTTGTTCTCCTAAGAGAACCTTGTACAGTGGCTTGAACTTGACTAGATACCCCAGCAATATGAGTTTACTAAGAAAAGAAAAAGCACTGCTAATATATGAATAGTGGTTACAGGAATCACTGTGTTCAGAACAGGCACTGGAGACTGAGTGGGTAATTGCAACCTTTATTCATGCCAGCATGAGAGTAATCTTCAAAGTCTGAGTCCTGAAACACAGTTACTCAGAAAATTTAGACAATTCGACGTCATTTCTAACCTGTCCTGTCACTGGTGGGTTAAAATTCTTGTCTTCCTGAGCATGGGCCATACATGAAGATCTCTAGCCTGCATGACGTTGGGGTGGGTCACTAGCTTGTATGACAGTTGAGCGAACATGAAGTTTGAGCAGTCAGAACGTTTACAGAGGGTTAGGATAGGAGGGTCTGTTTACAGAACTGGAAAAACAGCATTTCAAGATAAGGCATTATGGTTTCATTTCTCGCTCAATTTAGTTTAGTCAATGTTATTTACACTGTTTCCCAATTTAGTTGATGGAAATCAAATAATATTGCATTGCATATTAGCATAGCTTAGCATAATAACAAGAACAAACTCTCAGCAGTTTTAATAACAATTAGCAATAAGTATGAAATTAATGCTTATTAAGTATTTGCAGCGTACCATGTATGTAACTATGTGGTTTTAATAAGTGTCATCAATTAATGTTTCTTAAGTATTTGCAGTGTATCATGTTTATAATTATGTGGTTTTAATAAGCATCATTAATTAATGTTTGTTAAGTATTTACAGTATAGCGTGTATATAATGATGTGGTTTTAGTAAGCATCATCAATTAATGTTTAAGTATTTACAGTATAGCATGTATATAACGATGTGGTTTTAGTAAGCATCATCAATTAATATTGATTAAGTATTTGCAGTGGCTGTTGATATAACTGCAGAAAACAAAGGCTTAGAAACCAGTAACAGAAAAAATAGCCTCAGGCTCACACCTAAGGAATTTTTTCCACACATGACTGTCCATCCACCAGCATATTTTTGCATTTTTGTATTTATAACCATTACTGACCCTCACTTTGTTCTGAAAGAGCATAGTCTGAGAGAAGGCAACATGGATTTCCTGACCTTATTATTTTTTACGTATCTTACCTCAAATTTTACTGTGTTGACAGTGCTCAGTAACTTGCGGAACTGGGGTAATGGAGAGAAGAGTGGAATGCATGACTGAAAATGGTTGGCCCAGTGACTTGTGTTTAAAATATTTAAAGCCAGATGCTCAAAAGAAATGCTACGCCAGTGACTGTAAGTGACAGATTCAAAAACCTACCTGGAACCTAAGTGTACCTAAGAAGTTGTAGTGAGACTAGACACAGACAGCAGGGCAACTCTGTGACCGACTTTCTACCCTAGAGAACAGCAGCGATTCTGATGGTCGGGTTCACACTGTTTGGGATGTGTTCAGTGTTGATGCCTTCTGTTGATTTGTCTTTGAAGGTAAATCGTTTACTACCTGCAAAGAAATCCAAGTTAAAAACAACGTTACCAAGGATGGTGACTATTATCTTAACATCTGGGGAAGAATGCTGAAGGTAGTGTGAAAACTGCTTCCCGTTGATGCTAGCCTTGGCCGTGTCCTTGGAAAACGTTGTCTAGGTGTTTGCGTATTTTCTTTAGATTCATTGCTCAGGCATGAAGTTGGAGAGCCCGCAGGAATATTTGCCGCTGGTCAAAGGCGAAGACAACTTCTCTGAAGTCTATGGATTTAGGTACGAGCTGCGTTGCCCCATTTCTGCATTTTAGGGCCTTTAGATATTTAGCCTTTGGAGTGACATTGAAATAGCCAACATGTGGGACAAGTCATTTCGACACAGTAGGACCTAAGCCATCCCATGCCCATGCCTGTTCATAATAAAGATAGCCTGTAATTACAGAGAGATTGACTTAAAGCATGGGTAAAAGTGGGACAATATGGAAGAGATTCATTTAAGGCCTTGTCAATTTTCACAGAAATCAAGTTAATTTTGGTAACAAAAGCTGAGATGAGTATATCCGAATTATTTTTCTGCAATTGTCCTTAAATTTCCCAGTGAGAATCTTGCATGTTAGTCATTAGGAAGTTTTGCCTCTGGCTCATTTAACTTGTCAGTATTTATATGGAAGAGGAGAGGCATCTTCTGTTTTTCTCCTTCTCAGCTCATCATCCATCCCACTGTGTCTAACAAATGTAGCTAGCACTAAAATATTCCAATGTTGTTACAGACTGCAGAATCCATATGAATGCCCTTTTAATGGAGGTAGGAGGCAAGACTGTGAATGTAAAAATGATTATCCAGCTGCTGGATACACTGTTTTCAGCAAAGTAAGAATTGATCTCGCTTCCATGCAAATCAAAAGTAAGTGCTGAGCCTCTATTTTTAAAACAAAAAGCCCCATTTGCTAATGAAAAGCCCAGCAATGTGTAATAGCTGGATTACAACAAGAGACCTAGTGCTATGCAAAAACGACCTACTCTTTTGATTATCTATATATATATCTGTATATATCTATACTTTCTCTACAATGACATGAAATATGGGGACCTTTAGTAAAAATGTTGTAGTAATGACAGTGATAAGACACTGTACTTCCAAAATAAAATCTTAAACCTTAAAATCCCCAACTATTTTAAGTTCAAAGATATTAATATCTTTAGCATAATTGCAATGTTTGTAGAATTTATGTACAAATTCTAATTTATTAAGTATTATATTTCTCTATATACTATATTAACTTATCTTTTAAACAACCCTGTGTCAGATAAGACGGATCTATCCAAATGTCACAAGTGATGACATTAGGATTCTCTCAAGGGAGTGACTTTTACTGGTTCATACAGCTAGTAACTGACATTGAGGAGATGAACCCATTCACAGAGCACAGCTCATCCATCACCCAGCCTTTCTAAGAATTCATTGATTTTGAGACAATATACAGGTACCAGGCCCACATACATTCATGCAGGTACATATACACATAAAAATTTGTTTTTAAAGTGATGTGACTAAAGCCCAGCATAGACATGAGGTAGTGGGTAAGAAACATCAAGCCAGCTTCAAGAAATTGTGGCAAGTGAAGCCTACTGGAAGGGGCAGAGACAGTCTCTTACAATGATGGAACCCTTGGTAGGTTAACCAGGCTCCAGTGGATGAATGAATGGACCCACACTGAAAGACATTTGGAGACAAATTTGATTTTATAGGCCTTATTATATATATAGTAGATGTATAATGTATATAATAGAGTATATTAAATTGGACAGGGGAGCTGGAAAGATGACTCAGCAGTTAAGAACACTGGCTGCTCTTGCAGAGGACGTGGGTTCAGTTCCCAGCACCCACATGGCACTAATAACTGTCTGTAACTCCGGTTCTAGGGAACCCAATGCCCCCTTCTGACCTCCATGGGCATTGCTTGACATGGGTGCATTTACATACCTGTAGGCAATACAGTCTTTCATAAGGGAGGGAGAGAGAGAGGGAGAGGAGAGAATGAGAATTAAGTTGGGTAAGGGAAGGACTTGAAAGGATAGTGGTGGGGATCTAAATATCATCAAAATATATTGTATGAAAATTGAAAAATTCAATAATAAAAAAGAAAGAAAGAAAACCATGTTGAATGGCACCTGGGGCCACAGGATAGAAGGTCTATAAGTCTAGTTTCTGTATTGGTTCTGGAATGAGACTCTAGAACACTTGTAATTATAATCACTTGGTCTCTTTCATGCAAGATGAACTTCAGAGTAGAACAACAAGTCATTTTCTCTAATTTTGAGACTAACATGATGATCCAGTGAGTAAATATGAATTCCTATTGCTTTAATTTGCAAGAGGAAATCGGTATCACTTCAAATACTTCTTCTTGATCTCTTCTCATGTACATCTTTTGGTTTGGTTGGGAAGTAATGACTTCCAAACTCTCAGTGTTCAGGAAAACCATTATTTCATGACTGGGTGTAAAAATAAGTGAGATGTCATATAAGCTGTCCAGTCTGTGAAGGATTGTCTGTTCTCAATAATAAATGGTTTTCATTCAATTAAAAGAAAGTGTAGTGACTTGAATCAACTCAATGGAGGTGATAGTAATTGTCTGATTTGGTTGGGACATTGCTTGAGTGATTAAGGCATGTATAACTGATTGTGACAGCTGAGTTTTAGGCTTCCTTCCTACCTTCTTTTGATCCAGTGGGTCTAGTTTTGTTATTCTATGTGGAATCTCCCTCTAGTGGTATTGCTGTTCAGAAAATTTTGCTAGCAATGTTAGCAAAAGGAAGAAAACAATAATAATGTGTAAATTACTAATATAAGAAAATAGCATACTCTTAAGGTTGGTGGTTTGGAATTGCCCCAATGAATATCTGTCTGTATAGTACATTAGGACTCACACACTACTTTGACATGGTGAGTCTACCTTTGAATAACCTCTGCTCTTTAGTGATTTTCTTCTGGAGTCCATTCCATTTATTTTAGATAATTGCTATGGTATAAAACATAATGAATCATTTATTTATTTATACTTCTTTTACCTTAAGTTCAGATATACTTGTGGCTTTCAGGACAATTTGTGACCTGTACACCCTTGTACTAAATTAAATGCTTTGAGACAGGCCCATGTTATCTACTATAGCAATGACATTTTGTTTAAAAATTCTAATTAATTACATAAGTAAAGATAATATGAATACCGTGTATTTGAAAATAAAGATTACACAAGTGGTTCCATGCTAAGGAGTTGTATTCATTGTTTTCCAGCCACAGACCTCCTTTATTCCCAGACACTGTCTGGGCGGGCGGTTCCGTTTGCCACAGCTGGGGACTGCTATAGCGCTGCGAGGTGCCCACAGGTATTTCATCAGGAAAAAGTTAAGGTTTTTCTTTATCCATTTTATTGACCAGAATATTACATGAAACATAAGAAAACAGATACTCAAAATGTCTGCATGCATATATTTTTAAAGCTGGAGGGAAAACATCTTTGCCGATATTGAGTTTGTTTTAAAAGTATAATAGCAAGACATTTGGCTTGTTTAGAAACTATTTCTCTTCCCATGAAACCTCATCATCTTAAATCTTTCTGCCTGGTCCCTGGAAATAAACAGATACTCATTTACAGGTTAAGGAACAGATTGTGGTGTTTCTAAGCCACATTACACTTATTCCTGAATAAAGAAATGGCCTGACTTTTAGCATTAGTTTCAAAGCCACAGTGAATGGGCACTCGGAGGACCACCTGCTCCTTCAGGTGTCTCGGGAACTGTGCTCTCAAGTCAGCCTTTGCTCACTCTTTTCTTGAAGCAGAATTTGGGAACCGGACGCTTGGATCCATCCTTGTCAGCGCATCTTGCCCATTGATCCCTGGGCCTCAAGAATCACACACAGAATTTCAGACAGCCTTCTCAATGGTCCTCACTGTCTTCAATTAAAATAGCATGCTCTCACAGCGATTTGCTATATATATCAAGCATACCCACATTTGTGTGGAGGGCCAAGGGGGTTCCTGACTGATTAAGGTTAGGTGCCCAGCTCACATGGCCCAGTGAGCTTGTCTACATTATAAACAGTAATAAACAATATTAGGGAACAGTATAAACAATGTTAGGGAAAAGCATTAGTTCAGATTATGCCCATATTGTAAAAGTCATTCCTATACAGTATGCTATGTTCGTCCACTGCTTATAGCATCTGATCTTCAGAGTTCTGAGTCTGCTGTGCCCCCATATGTCAAGACTTGGTCCCCGGGGTAGTGGTACTTACTGGGAGGTGATGTGAAACCTAAAGAGCTGGGGCCTCAGGAGCGGTCCTTAGCTCACTGGGCATGTGCCCTCCAGAAGACTATGGAACCCTAGTGATCCATTCTCTCTGTGTTTCCTGGTTCATAATATGAGCACTTGTTCTACACACATTTTCATCAGCATCTGCTGCCCCCATCACAGGTCAAACAAATGGGACCACCCAGTCTTGCACTTAAACCTCCAAAACCATGAGCCAAAAGAAACCTTCCCTGTTTTAAAATTGTCATGGATAGTTCATTGTAGTGATGTTAGAGACAAAATCAGGGTGGCACATCATGAGACCACCACTCAAATTCAGGTATCGTGGCAAGGCAGACTACTTCTGTATAGAAGGGTGTGGAGCCAGAGAGCAAGAGAGCAAGCACACACAACCAAAGCGGTGAGTCTTTTATCCCTAATGCAAGGGGCACTTGGCTGTCTGCTACTGACTAAGGTTCAGCCTTGCAATCTGTTCTCAGTTGGCTAGTTTGGACAACAGCACACAAGGAAAGAGACAAAGGCGTCAGGGAGAAGGAGATTTAACACTTAACTGGTCCGGGAGACTGTGGCAATGAGTTGGGGTATTAGGCACCAGACATTCTAAGAAGTAGATTATATCTGGCTGAACACACATTCATTTCTTACCAAAAGGACTAGGGCATTATAAGCATAAACAGGCATACAACTCCTAAACTTGTTTGGTAGAAAAGATAAAGTGTCTCGCAGTGATTGAAGCTGAGTGACGCATGTTCCCAGAGTTAGCTGCGGAACGGACGGAGTGCAGTCTATGTGCTCATTCTAGGGTTCTCCATGACTTCCACGAGAGAGTACGCTTCCTAGGGGAAAATTTGCTGTCCAACTTTTTATTATGGTTTTTATGCAGTCTATTAAACATTCTATGAAAATATTGGGAATGTGAGTTAGGTACATGGTTGAGTATATTTCTAGTATCTGAATATATGACTGAAATCTGACTACCAAGTAGTGAGTAGTGGTTAATTTAGTGATTTTTTTCTTTTATTTTTTTGGCGTTTTTTTTTTTTTTTTTTTTTTTTTTTTTTTTTTTTAAATGACATGATCACCTTGGAAAACTTCACATAGTTTGGAGAATTTGGAAGGGGAATGAATGCCAAACTCACATTACAGCAACAGTGGGAAATTTCACAGTATTGTTGAAATTTGGTAGAGGCGTTTGTCAGTAAATAATACTAAAAATTATGGTAGACATATGGATTTGCAAATTTACATTCTAAAATGCAATGATCTATTTTCAGTCTGAAGGTTCTATCAGTTTAGTTATTAAAGCACTTTAAAAGAGTTAACTTCGCAGACTATGATCTTTATTTTCAGAAGTTTAGTTTGCCATTTTACATTTTCTGTAGGGCACAGGTGAAGGCACACTGGGGCTGTAGAAGAGTCATGGAAAAATAATGGAAAATCTCTTTTTGAAGAGAAGTTGAGGACCATTTGCCACAGCTTCATCTCCCGAGAATTTTCCATTCACAATTCTCACCATATGACATAAATATATGTTTATAATTATTAAACCATGTTTCCTACACCTAATAATACCTAAAAGAGATACAGGCTAAAGTAAATAAGAAAACTTACCTGAGTAGATATACAAATTGTAAGTTAGATTCAGAAACTCAAATAGAATAGAGTAGTGTGTTTTACTCAACCACGTGGGTTCAGTAGGTCTCGGAGGATGGGTGACATAAAGAACCCAATGTAATCAGAAAGTAACGAAATGCAGTATGAGGCCCCAAAGATGTACTTATAATTGACATCGGACTATCATACTTTTAAAATTTCTGTCTATAAATGATCATTTTAATCTATCTAAAAGAGAGGAATAACATCAAGAAAAAGGAGAGATGAAGTTACATAGCATAAAGAAAATACTCTGAGAGAGAAAAGCAGGTTATAATAGCTATCCTTAGTATTCAAAGGGCTACCACAGTCGAGGAGTGAAGTTGTGTGTCACTACAGGAAAACGATCCGGGAGCAGAGTCTAGCTCAGCTTACAGAAGACTTTCGACAGAAAGAATTGTCCAGTAGAGGAGTTCAGAACTAAAGCCCAAATAAATAATGAATATGGCAATAAATTCTAATATTTAGTAAATTAAAATAATATATTAATAAAGCATTGTCGATTTTTTAGAGACTGGTCTATCCATCAATCTTACTGAATGCATAGTAGCTTTTTAGTAGATCCCTAAGGACTTAACAAACACATGATGTCATTTGTAAGTAAAAATCCACTTTTTCCTTTTTAATTTGGATGCCTTTCATTTCTGGGTCTTGTCTCATTGCGTTGATTTGCCTGAGTATTGCAGAAACAGCAGCCTTGTAGACCGAATGGGGAGGGTTTGCTCCTCTTCTACTTTTTTGAGAATTTGTGAAGAATTTATTCTTTAAATGTTTGACCCTGGGATTTTCTTAGGGAAATTTCTTTATTTATTATGAATCTATTCAGATTTCCTAATTCCTCTTCAGTCAGCTTGGACACTTTATATCTTTTTATGAATTTGTCCAATTCATCAAAATCATGTAATTTATTGTAATACATTATTAAGACATTCCATTACAAGATTAGGAACTTTGTTTCTCTCTCTCTCCCCCCCTCTCCTTCTCTCTCCTTCCCTCTCTCCCTCCCTCCCTGTACTCTCCCCCCTCCATTTTGTTGGATACAGTTGAAAGTCTGTCAGTTCTGTGCTACTTTTCAGAAAATCAACTACTGCATTTGATTTTCTCTTTTATTTTACCAGGTTCCAATCTGACTGTCATTATTTCTTCCCTTCTGCTTAGATTTGATTTGCTTTTTCTAGTGTCTTAAGGTAGAAGGTTATTGATTTGAGGTTTTTCTTTTCTTAATGGGCATTTATAGCTATAAATCCTAAGTATTTGTGTTGATATATCTCAGGCTTTGGGGTATGTTATGCATTTATATTCATTTATCTTAATATACCACTTGAGACGTCGCCTTTGAATCACTGACTATTTGAGAATGTAATGTCAAATTTCCAAATATTTGTGAATCCCCTAAATTTTATTCTGGTTTTGATTTCTACTTTCATTACATTGTGGCTGGAAAACATTCTCTGTATTGTTTCAGCCCCTTCAAATTGATTGAGGCTAGTTTTATGGTGTAGCATGTTTTTTATTTGGAGGGATGTTCAAGACATGCTTGGAAAGAATGTGTGTTCTGTTGGGTGATGTGTTTATGGACTGCAGGCCTGTAGTCCACAGTGTGGTTTGCCCCTTCTGTTTCCTTGTTTAGTTCTGTCTGCCACAACTCTGCAACTACTAACGTCAAACTGTTTGTTTTCGGTTTGAGCTTGTTTCTTGTGCTTGGTTTCTTTGGCTTGGAGCTTGTGTTGTACAAGATTGTATGTTTACAGTTGCCATAAATTCCCAATAGATTGGATTCTTCATAATTATCAAATATGCCTCCTCTTCTGTGGAACTCACTATGTGGCTCAGACTGGCCTCAGTCTCACAGAGATGCACCTGCCTATGTCCCAAGTGCTGGGATTAAAGGTGTGTGCCACCACGCCCAGTGTTGGATCTTTGCCTTTTGATTGGATTTTTAGTTTTATCACTATGTTTGGATTTCTGCCTACTCTGTTTTTGTTGTTTTCTATATAGCTCATGCTGTGTTTGTCCCATTGCTCCTCCGCACATTCTCATTCTTTTTTATTCAGTGAATGTTTTCTCTTGTAACATTTAATTTACCTAATCTTTTTACTATTTTTAAAATTTTATTTATTTGTCCTCTGTTCATCTATCTATCTATCTATCTGGTAGATAACTTACCAGAATCTACTTGAGTTTATATTACTCTTTCTATATTTTTAGTGACATATAGAAACATTACTTCTCTATGTAGTTACCCTTCAATATCAGTGGGTGCTGTTTCCAGGACCCCTCCTTCATGGAAGCTAAAATCTATGGTGTGGTATTTACATAAAACCAGTGCATGTCCCCCCATCTACTTTATACTCTTTCTTAGTGACATATAGAAACATTACTTCTCTATGTAGTTACCCTTCAATATCAGTGGGTGCTGT